CGTACTGGGGAAAGATACGGCTACGTATTTATGAACGTTTCAGAATCGCGACGTGCTATACGTATAGGCTGCTTTGTGACGTAAACGTAACTCACGTGCACTATTTGCGCAGAGATTACTTGGAGTGCCTAAAGAGCTTCTGTGATTGTCTAGCTGTGCAGCTGGTAGCTTTTCCAGTTGTTTTGACCAAGTTACTTCGCCAGACTGGCGATCTGGGTATTTCTAAAAGAATTTTTTGCGCCCCTACTAGCAAGTCATTAAAACGGAACAGAAAATCGTGCAAGAGCTAGTTTGGTTGAAATGTTGATTTGAAGAAGTGATGGACTGGGAAAAAACAAAAAAAAAATTCGGAAAAAAACTGAAAAATTACATCATCCTATTATAAAGGAGCGAATGCAAGAAGAATTAGACAAAACTGTCATTATCAGAGCATTTCTTTTAACTATAATTTAGATGATTATTTTTCGCTGTTTATCGTCGAAATTGTTGTTGCCCTTTTTTCAAGAAATTAGTTGGTCAGGATAGGAAGTAACACTGCAGTAGTTTACAAAAGGTTCAACTGTGCAGTCGAATTATCAGCCCCACTACGATGCGTTCATTCACTTCGATGATAAATTGATAGTGGCACATGCCAGGAAGTCAAACGCATCATCAGCTTGCTTGTCAGCAACCTTCAAAAGATGAAACTATTGGTAACCTTGCCGACAAGTGGTTGCTGGCATTTTTTATCATTAATGTTGCTCCATAAGTATTTCTATCTTCCGTTCGCAAACATGCAAGCATTGAGCTCTCTAATAACAAAGGAAATGATGAGACGAAGCAAGCCATAGAGTATCATTTTCTAAAACAGCAATCGGACTACTTGGGCTCGGCTGTTATTCATATAGATTAGTTCTCAACTACTTCATTTTTTCCAGTTGTTTTGACCAGTGCTGCATCAGCTTAAACTCATTTAGTTTCACAGTGCGAGGTTAGACTGCATAACAGAGAAACGTTTAATTTAACAAATGTCAAATCTAAGCAAATTTCGCAAAGTGATGTGCAAAACAATACCTATACAGTTCTTATTTTGGGCGAAAGCCGCCGCTGGTCATAAGCACCGGCCTGTGGTCGCTACCAGCCATCACCTCTAATCGCTTGGCGGAATTTCGCCTTTACAGGGGCAGTATTTGAAAAGAATGTCGCTCAGGGCCAAGTGGGCCTCGACTCCTTTGTCCAGAAATTGATTACGGCACTCTTAATTAACAATGCATGGAATCTACTACACCAGCAAGCTTCTGCCACTATTAACACATTCATCATCCATTCATCTCCGCTCATTCATTTCTAACTGAAAGGATGGTTCTTCGATCCTGACAATTGCGTGATTAATTATTGTTTATGAGTGCCTCAGCTCAATGTTTGCTTATTTTTACACTTCAAAATTACAGCACCTTCAAATTTCCTCTCACCTCTGAAACCCTTCAATTACATTAACCCAGCCATTGCGGCACTTCTGAGAACAGCCAGCTGGCCATGAAAGTGACCATCCTAACCGAGAGTTTTTAACAAAAAACAAAGTACAAAAATTACCAAGATCCATGGGACAATTTGTGTAGGTTTCCCGTGATGGCTATTATTAGGAATGTTTCCGAACTCCGGGTGCAACTACGTCAGGCGCTTCGACCCCGGGCTAAATATTTCTAATCAGTTTCTTATCACCTGCTCGATTTTTTTGTGGGCTACGCGAGTGGTTATTTACCATCTACTTGAAAGCTAAGCGAGCGGTTACCAATTATAACCCAGGCCGCAACGCACCAGGCTTGCCGGTGTGATCATGCGTTTTTGCGCTAAGCTTGAAGCAGCCAGTTCCTTAGCTGTCAGTGGTTGTAACTTCACATTTAACTTGCACATTCATTGTAATAAATTACCGTAAATCATGCACAGAGGAAAATGAGAGATTTCTGATAAGCGGTCGCTCATTGGAAATGACTTAACTGTTCTAGCTCTTGGATTAACAATTTTTCTGTCGAAAATTTTACTCGTCCGAAACATGCTTACCTGGAAGCTGAATTTCAAATCTCTATGTTGTACATGAACATGGAATATCAACTGAAAACTTCAGCTTCCTGCTTTTCTCGATTCTAAGTCAGAAATTTTCCGACCAAAACTTTCGCGCTCAGACATGAAAGAAGGCTGCTACTGCGTTCCTGGGATGGCGCTAAGGTTAGGGAACCTATTGGCAAAATGTCAGCGTCAAAGCTTGCTTGCTTATCGTGTCGAAATACTCGGATGGACTCACACACATATATATTCGCTCTAACACACACCATGGGT